CTGTTCATTCCACATCCTCGTCCCAATCTGGCTTGAATTTCTGGCATCTTACTTTTGATGTGCTGCTGCGAATATTTTTGAGTATCTCCAGCAAAATTTTATTGGCATGTGATATTAATGATGCTGTTTGTTGCTTGGTGCCATTGTATAGGTTCTGACTCATAGCAACCCTGTACAGGGTTTCTGAAGAGCAACTGGCAGGTTTGAACTGCCTACCTTGTGGTTAGCAATCCAGGGATATTGTTCATCAATTTCTACATTCTGTAAGGTCACCTTTCTTTGTAATGGGCACAAATATGGATCTCTTTCAGCCAGTTGGTTGGCTAGGCAGCTGTCTTCCAAATTTCTTGGCATAGACTAGCAAATGCTTACAGCACAGCATCAGTTTGTTGAAACATTTCAGTTGGTATTCTGGCAATTCCTGGAACCTTGTTTTATGCAAACGCCTTCACTGTATTTGGACTTCTTCCTTCAATAACACTGGTTCTTGATCATATACTACCTCTTGAAATAGTTGAACACTGACCAATTCTGTTTGGTGCGGTGACTCTGTGTATTCCTTCTATCTTCCTTTGATGCTTCCTATGCTGCTCAATATTTTGTCCATAATGCAAAGTAAAGCTTGCCCCTTCAGTGTGAGAAATGGCTGAGCATGCTCTTCCATTTGTAACTCCAGGTCTTTGCATATTTCATTATTTTACTTTTTTTTTCCCTCCAGTTGCCCTTTGAAATCTCTGTTTGGCTCTTTAATTTCCCTTTTTTTACAGCTTATTTTCCTTTCAAAAACAAGTTTCAGACTCTCTTCTGATATCTTCTTTGGTAGTCTTCCTTTTCCATCTTTTAAGTGACCTTTTGCGTTCTTTGTGTATTATGTTTTCGTCATCCCACAACTACTTTGGTCTTTGGTTGTAAGTGTTCAATGTATTAAAGCTGTCTTTGAGGTGGTCTCTAAATTCAGGTGGGATAAACTCAACATCATAGTTTGGCTCTCATGATCCTGTTTTAGTTTTCTTCACTTTCACTGTGAGCTTGCATATGGGCAACTGATGGTCTCTTTTACGGCTGACCGCAGGCCATGTTTTTGCTGATGTTATCAAGCTACTCCATTCTCTCTTTCCACAGATGTAGTCAATTTGATTCCCATGTATTATTCCATCTAGTGAAGTCCATATATACAGTTGCCGTTTATATTTGAAAAAAGGTATTTGCAATGAAGAAGTCGTTTGTCTTGCAAAATTCTTTTATTTTCCCTTCTATGTTCCTAGTATGGCTTTTCTAAATCAACTTTAAAAAAATATGTATTGTGAATTATTTGATAGTTTACATGGGAGAACATTAGCTTTATATTTATCCTATCTAATATCATTTCATTGCCATAGTTACAATCTGCTTCCATGCTTCATCAACCAACCAAAGGATATACACCCCACAAGCCTGCCATCCAGTCATCAGCACACAGCCCCTCTCCCTCTCTGGGTATAGAGTTCCCGGCCGCTCCATCTCTCCACATCATCATTTCTGCCTCCATCTCTGGTGTCACTGCTTCTCTGGGTAGGGTCCTGCACTCTGCTCTTCTCCCTTGATGGTCGCAGGGACCTCTGCTCCTGGACTGCAAAGTCAATCACTCCCCTCCCGTCCTCACAGTGAGTCCTGTATTGTACCATAAGAGACCTATCCACATCTCCTTTCATCAGGCCCGCCCAGACAGATGGGATATTACTCAGTGGAGATTCTACCTCCCGCCACGCCCTCTGGATCTAGGCTTCCTCTTGAAATCTTGTAAGCCAGTCACTTCTTGCCTTTGTAGCCACCCCGTCCCTCATTTTGGGTAGCCAATGTCCAAGTTGCCCATCCCTATCTACTAAGTGTATGGAGAGGGTGGGAATGAGCCTTGCTATAAAGATTTGTTCCTTCTTTTGAGCTACTGCATCCATAGGTGTAGGTCAAGTTCATCAATTCTATCAGATTACTCTTTTTTCCCTCTTCTTTCTTCTTCTAGTTGAACTCTGGTCATCCAGTCATTGAAACCAGGTCAAAGGGGTATTATCTGCAAGTGTGGATGTTCTTATGCATATGCCCTCTCTTCTTATCAGCTGGATGCTTCACTCTCCACTCTAGTCTTCTGTGGCTATGTCACTGACTCTGGGCCCAAGAGTACCTAGGTCTTGCCACACTGCTGATGAACCAAGTCTCTACCCGGGTTCACAGAAGTCTATTGAACATTGTAGGGCTTAGCTCACAGTTTCATTGATGTTTTTCCCTCACTTCCCCTTATTGGTGACAAACGTGGTCACGAATCAGAGAGCATGTGTGCTCATGTATTCCTACTGAGTCTTAGTCTTGGAAAGGGGACCTGACCACTTGGCTTGATGTCTCCAGGATGAGCACCTTGCTTGTTCTTGTAGTAATCAGTCAGACTGCCTTAATTGTTTTGTATTTTTCCTGATGGTCTTTCTTTCAAGAAGTATCTTCTGCTCTTCTAGTTGCTCCAGGCTGGTCTGCTTGCCCTTTCAAGTAGAAATTTCCCACCTCAGAAGATTCTGAATGGGGTTCAGGATTCCACCTATGGTCTTATGTAATGCAGAGGCTCCGCAGGAAGCCTCCTTCACTGGACAAGTTGTAGCCCCATTTTAGGTATTCTAATCCATTATAGGCAGAAGACAGATTTAATAGCTTTCTATGGTGATATTTCTGGCTATTCCTTTCTCTTCCCCTCAAGTGTATATTTTATAATGGTATGCCAGGGAAACCAAGATTCAAAAGACAACCAAGTATCTTAACATTATTTCCCCCCTTTTCCCCAGAGCCCTGTTGTTCCCAGGCTGTGCACACATCATTATTTACCTCTGTTCCACTTAGCCCATGCAAACCTGCCTGTTTTCCCATCTGTCTTGTTCTTCCATTCCTCTCCCCCTTCTTGTATATTGCCCCCTCCCTAGCACCCACACTATCCTGTGTCTATTCCTTACCCTGGGCTCCACTTCCCCTCACCCCACCCTGCACATCCCAGTAACTAGCAAAGAATCAACCCCCTGCTTTAGTTCTGTTTCTTTTTCTTAGTCTTTTACAGTAGTGGTCCTATGCAGTATTTCTCCTTTTGTGACTGACTAATTTCACTCAACATAATGTCCTCAAGGTTCATCCTTGTTATGTGGTAGTTTTCAGCTTCCTTGTTGTTCTTC